CACACCCCCCACACACCCCGGGGGGCCCCTGCCCCCTGGGGTTTCTCGGAGCTCGGGCTCTTGCCTGCTCTGCAGACCCCAGAGTCGGGGCTCCACCCCTGCCCGTGTCCGCCCCCTGTCCTACGCCCTCCCTCCCGACCGTGAGGCCGGAGCCTCCTCCCTGCCCCCTCAGCTTGTCCGGGAGGGGAAGGGGGCGGGCAGCACAGGGGGTGTGACAGCTCCCGCCCGGACCAGTGCCAGCTGCAGCCTCGCTTCAGTGCCCCGTGCCAGCTGGCTCTTTCGTCTGGGACGGAGGTGGAGGCTCGGGCTCCTTGTCGCCGAGGGGGGAGGCCCCCCGCGGGCCCCCAGCCCTCCACCCACCCAAGAGGAGCCTCTCCTCCCAGCCGGCCTCTGGCTGCCCTGGCGGTGGGTCCAGCTAGGAACTGGCCCTGGTCACTGCGCCCGGGACTCAGAGCCCGCAGCCCTCCAGGATCCCCCTATCGGAGCTGACGGGGCTCGCTGGGGAGCCTCTCGGCCTTCTGCTAGAGCCTGCAGGGCTGGACGAGCTTGGGAAGGATCATGAAGGTGGGTAAGGTGGGGCCGGGGGCGAAGAGCAGCAGAAGAGGAAGCCGACAGATGGGGAGTTTGGGTGGGAGAGAAAGGGTTGGTCCTGGGAAGGGAGGAGGGGAGAAGAAGGGTTTGAGCTGAGGCTACATTTCTGGGGGATCCAGTGAGTCCATAGCTTCAAACTGGGAGGTGGTGGAGGTCCCTGCAGGGACTTGGGTAGCGGGGTGGGGCAGAAGTCCAAAGAAGGCCGGGAAGGAAGGCTCTAACCTCCCGCCAGCGGGAGACCCCTAAGTGCGCCAGACCGACAAGACCCAGCGAAGGTCTTCCTGTCCCTCCCCCAGCTCCTGGCAGGGCTGCAGCACCCCCGCCTGTCCAGTCCAGAGGATTCTAAGGAAGCGGTGCTGCCGGGGGAGTTGTGTCCTGGTACAGCTGCCCCAGCCCCATGGCTGTCCACCTTCCTCCCCTCCTCACAGGTGGGCTGGCCAGGTGAGAGCCGCTGGCAGGTGGGCCTGTTTGTGGAGGACAGCCCAGCTCTGGGAGCACCACAGGTGGGAAGCCTACCAGACGTGGTGCCCGAGGGGACGCTGCTCAACATGGTGCTGAGGAGGATGCACCTGCCCCGAAGCTGCTCCTACCGGCTGCTTCTGGAGCACCAGCGCCCCAGCCGAATCCAGGGCCTTCGCTGGGTGAGTGCTCATCGCCTGCCCAGGCCAGGAACCGGGGCTGCAGCGTCTGGATAGGGAGGGAGCACAGGCGTGCTGGTGTGGCCCAGCTTGCTCTGGGAGGGTGGGGGGTACTGCTGGATGGACAGTTGGTCAGGCAGCTTAGCTTTGGTATGGGTATGTGTGGGTGGCTCACACAGCTGCATTTTGTGTGTGTGTGTGTGTGTGTGTGTGTGTTGCCCAAGTGCCCCCATTTAGGCATGGGGAAGAGGCAAGGGGTTTGTCATTTATTCATAACCTCTGCGTGCCTTGGGTTAGGTGCCTGTGTGTTCTCCCTGGCGGGGGTGGAAAAAACTTGGTTACTATTCTCCACATATCACCGTGGCAACCTTCCCAGTTAGTGAGCAACTGAACTGCACCAGTTCTGTTTTTTGATTTTGGGGTGAGGTGGTCATGCGAATGTTGCTAGGCATCTGGCATTGGGGAGTTCAGGGAAGGATTCTGAAAAGTTTAGAGAATTTGAGGCAACTGGAGTTCCCCTTGTCATTGGATAACAGCTGTGGAGCTGCAAAAGTGAAGGAGAGAGCAGGAGCGGGTCATAGGGGGTGGGGTGCAGGATCCAAATTGTCAGAGAAGCTCTCCTCAATCTCCTAGACTTAATAGAGTGGCTTCACCTGAGATTCAGTGTGTGTCTTGTGTGCCCACCTGTATGTGTGTGTGGGGGGGGGGGGGGGGTGCCGGGAGGGCACTTGTGTAAAGGCGTGGAGGGAAATAGGAGCAGGTGACAGACTTGGGGGAGCTCATCTCTTATGGGCAAGTCCCGTTGAATAGAAGGACCACCACCTTCTGCCTGCTTCCTCCTGTCTCTCTCAACCGCCATTTATATTTACCAAAACATGAGGCTGAGTTGAGAAAACTGAGGCCCACCAACATGAGGGGGTCATCCTGGCGATCAGAATTGAGAGGAGAATCTAGGTGGCAGTCCCCCAAACCCTGCCTCCCAGGGTTTTCCTGATAAGGGGCCCCCTGGCCTTGGTCCTGCTCAAGATGGGGCTCTGGAGGAGGCAAGGGAGCCAGTCACTTCTGGGCTTAGCTGCCCCCCCCCGCCCCCCCGCCCCTTCCGGGTCCCTGGCAGTAGCTACTGCTTGGAGCCAGTGGGCTGGAACACTCCCTCCCTCTTTCCCTCTCAGGCTATAATTACTTGTGCATTTCCTGTCCTTTTCCCAGCTTGTAGAGGCAAGGTGGAGAGTGGGGGGAAGGTCAGGTGCTAGGACAATGAGGTCACTGGAGGATCCCCTGGGACCCAAAGTCTGGGAGTGGGTAGATGAGGCCGCCAGGCTGTCTCCTGACCCCTCCAACCCCTGGTGTGCTGGGAGGCCAGAAGGGTGGGGGTGAGGGCTGTTGGAGTGTAAATGGGGTCAAAGGCACAGAAGCAAGGCCCCTCCCCTGCCAGGTAGGGGGGCAAGTGGGGCTTGTTGATTAGAGGGAACTTAGATTTTTATGGCTGCCACACCCTCTCCTGATGACCTTCTCTGGGGAATGGGGTGGGGTCGTTTCAGCCCATTGTGTCTGTGACTCTGGGTACCTATAATGCTGCACCTTGAATCTCTGGATGATGCCTGTGGCCCATGAAGAGCTCACGTGAGAGGGACAAGCGCCAGGCAGGGGATATGCAGACACAGGGTGAAGGGTGGATGTTGTGAGGGAGCAGAGCCCAGAGTCCCAGAAGTCCAGTGCTGGCAGTTGTGCAGCCCCTGCCTACCTCTTAGAAAAGCAAAGAGAAACCCATCAGCTTCCTGAAGGCTAAAGAGAGCACTTTCTGTTCCTACTGGACCAGGACAAGAGAAAAATAAAAGCAGGTTACAGCAGGAGGGCCGGAGGTTAGCTATAGAAAGGACTTACCAACCCTGACAGAGGTGACACTGAAATGGAATGGAAGAGCATCTCCTTGGAAAACATGAAGGGGAGAGATTGTTTGGTGTCTGGGAACCAGCAGAGGGGTCATTCTGTCTAGAGGCAGCGACGAGATCTGGATGACCTCTGGTGGGTCCCATGAGCTCCCAGAAGCCTGGGATGCTGCTCTGTGAGTGAGTGTTTTGGGGATGGTGTGTCTATGCTCTAACTCAGAAAACATGCTTTCACCCAACCTGTCCAAATAATGGTAGTAGCTAGTAGTTATCTAGGACTTATGTTCCAGGCACTTGTCAAATACTCGCCCAACAGCCTGTGAGATAGGTGCTGATGTCATCATTTCATTTTAGAGATGAGAAAACAGGGGCACAGAGAGGCTAAGTGACAGGTCCAGAGTCGCACAGCTGCTAAGGGACAAAGCTGGACTTTGGTCCTGGGTAATGTGGCTTCAGAGTCCAGGTTCATGGTATGTTTTCTCTTGCTGTGGATGGTAACACTGACACTCCATAACATCACCCCACCCCATGCCACCTCTCCCTGTCCCACCAGGACTAGCCCTGGCCTGAGACCCTAGCCATGGGCTAATGGAACTGGTCTGACGACAGGTCCCCATGTGTCTGTCTGCACTGCCAGTCGGGCTCTGACACTCAGCGACAGGGAGGGAGGGTGAGGCAGGTCAGGTGCTGGTGCCATGGGAGCTAGCTGGCAACTCCTCTTCCACCCTGAGTAGTTCCTGTGAAGGCATGAGAGGAGGTGGGCGAGGACCTTCACCTCCAACCATGTCAGCTACTTCTTTCCCACTGAGAACCCTAAGCTGACACTCAGGGTCATGGGGTCAGGGACAGGGTCAACAAGGTACATTCCTTGTGGTGTCCAGTGCCCAACCTGAAATAAAGATTAATCAAGTTACTTAACACTTACTAAGCAGTTACTACAAGCCAGGCCCTGCTCTAAGTGCTTTCTATTATTCTCATTTGATCCTTATAATAACTATGGGATAGGTATTTTTGGGGGTGGGGGTTGGGGGGGTCAGACAGGTGTTTTTATCACCAACCCCAGGTGCAGGTGAGTAAACTGAAGCACAGAGAGGTTAATAAGCAGCTCTGGGTCACACAACCAGCTGGTAATAAGTGCCCATCAGCAGATGAATGGATTAGAAAACTGTGGTACATCTACACGATGGAATACTATGCTGCTGTAAAAAAGAAGGAATTCTTACCATTTGCGACAGCATGGATGCAACTGGAGAGCATTATGCTAAGTGAAATAAGCCAGTCAATGAAAGAAAACTACCACATGATCTCACTCATTTATGGATAATTAAGACCATTATAAACTGATGAGCAAAAATAGATACAGAGGCAGAGCAACATCGAACAGACTGTCAAACTACAG